ACGAAATCCTCATAGTATCTGCAAAATGTTTTACATTAACTAAGAGATAAAAAGTAGAAGAGTCGAGTTCAATAACAAACTAGAAAAAGTGCAAAAAACATGTCCAGAGAAGCCTAAAAAGCTAAATAACTCCAACTTTTCCCTATGTTACAATACAACAAACTATTTCCTTTCCGCTGAGCAAAACCCATAGCGCCTTACAAACATTTGAACTCCACTTGCTTCATAGGCCAGGCGTGCCACCTTCTTGAGGGAAATGTGGATAGTGTGGAACTAAATGACCTATCGTACAATATGATTTAAATACGCATATACATAATAATTGAATGCAAATGCAAAGATTTAAACATGTGTAAACCTTAAGAATTGAACGTGAGATTTGTTGACATTAGAGGGACCAAATTTGAGGCTGGCAAGTGTTCGAAAATGCATGACTGTTTGCATCGCCCTACAACAAATAACAACTCAATTAAATCTTGTAACAAATTATCATTGTAAACTAAGGGCTTGTTTGAGCCCAATTTCTTGAAAAAAATGCCTTCATGAATAGTGTTCATTATTAACCAAAAATGTGGCTCAAATAAGGGCTAAGTATACTAACCAACAAGAGTTGAATACGTAAACGGTGTTCACATAGAATGTTGTGAAGGTGCCTGAATGACAAGTGCAATAGATGGCGTATTACTGTGCTTGGACGTCGGCCTCTTTCCTTTCGTTGAAGTCAACGTAGCCTGCACGTACACACATGTTAAATAGTAATTGTAATGGAATATTGTCTAAGACAATAAAAAGACCAACCAACATACATTTGCTTTTTTTGAAGAGGACTCCAACGGGCTTTTTCTTCGAAACTTCTTCGGCGCGCCCTTTCTTCTCAATAGTATAAGATCTCGTATAGTTCTGATGGCAATATTTTCGGATCCATTACACTGTGAGGCTAACTAAATAATGTGTGTGAAACGACATTACTACCAGCCTACCACTACCTAACTTGATTGTACTTAAATCTCATTTTTGATTAATTATCTACTCCTTCATCGCATGTGACCGTACTGCATCATCAACCGCAAGGTTTGCAACCTCTGCAAAAGTTAGACACATCGTTGTATCTTAACTGTTCAGGAGTACTAACCAACCTATCATAGTTCACTGCGACCCTGGTGTGTGCTCTACAAACACTCTCCTCCATCTCCATAGTATATACCATTCTAATAGTGATGTAACATCATTAAGGATTAAGACAACGATAACGTGCCGACATAGAATTCCCCGAAACTCAAACGAGTGGCAACTGCAAACAATTTCATAAGTGTCTCTGTGAAATGAGACAAAAACTTTTTTTTATCTTTTGTTGGTCATCGTACATGAAAATCTCCCGTAGTTTGTACATCGTACTTGAAGTTTCCTCCATAGTAGATATGAGGTCGCAATAAACATTCCCAGTGAGCTTAACTTGACTTCACTAAACTTCGAAATGATGTAAAATTTCTAATACTACTTCTCCATTTCGAAAGTTGTCGTACACGGTACCATTTGTGAGTATGACTTAAAACCAGTCTGGAACTCCTTTTCAACCTTATTCATCAGTACCCATTCATACTATTAAACAAATTGTTTCAGCGAGGTCTTCAAATGAACATACCCATCGAAGATTGTATTCATACTATCGCTTCGATCTCTGTTATCATCCTTGCCTAAAATATGGTTTTCAAATAGCAAGGAACCCAACGACCCCTGTTATCAAACAGTCCCGAGAACCAATCATTATTATGCAACTCATTTATTCAAATTTGTCAACAAACTGCGAATCATACACTAATCTATGTATAGTAGAGAAAATGGAAGCCTTATCAACGTGGTATCCAAAATTTTTGGCAACTTCTTCAAAATATGCTGCAGATACCATTTATGCCTCGTATTTGGAAAAACAATTTGAATTGCATTTTGCATGGCCCTATCTTGATTGGTAATGATTTCATGGGGAGCTTTTTCATGCATACACTGTAGCCATGTCCTAAATAGCCACACAAAAGTATCTGTGTCCTCGTTCGACAACAAACCACAATCGAGCAGTGTAGATTGTCTGTGATGATTAACGCCAACAAAAGGGGCAAAAGACATATCGTACTTATTAGTTAGATAAGTGGTATCAAATGTGATGACGTCGCAAAACTCCTTGCACGCTTGTCTTGACCTATTATCTGCCCAAAATATATTCTTTAGCCTAGACTCATCGTCTACATCCATACTAAAGTCGAATGCGAGTACTGGGTTTGCATCTTGGAAAAGTAGACTTGTATCGCTGCGGAATCTCCTTCATCAAGTCTTAATCATCTCACTTGTTCAATATAATTTCGACAATCCTTTTCCACGCAAGTCATACTTTCATATCCACTTGCTTTACTCACTGCAGAGTTAAAACTTTTGTGCAAAAGAATTCATGTCACATCAATCACTTCAGGCTTCCATTTGACATGTGAACTTAATTATTGATTGCAGCGATACAACATCTACTTCGAATGACTTGTTTTATGATTGTTGTCGAGGTGGACTGTGTTAATTCTCCAGACTTCATGAATATCTGAAGATGCAGTGATTCTAGCTTATGTCTGAATTGTTGGTTGGGGCTTCAAAAAACCACTTGTACTAGTGCTTTTTCGGCCTTCACGGCTACATGTGAAAGTCACATAGTTCATTTTCCTATCGTCTCCCTTTTTCGAATTTCTTTTCCTAATTGGAAAACCTACATAATATGCTTATCCTTTGTAGAAATTCCACAATTCTTTTTTATCCTTAAACATCAAACCCACATCCGGCACCATTGGACCATCTTCTCCTAAAGTCTATTCCTCGACTGATATCATATTATTTGGAACATTCTTGTCAACATCCCTCTCCACCAAAAATTTATCATGTACGTCTTCCATAGAATCTCCTACTGCAACAAAATAAGTGGCAACGTTCAACAAAACATAAACCAATTTTAGTTGAATAAGTAATTGCAAAATGTAATCTCAGCGCGTTAATATTGTTCACAAATAATAAACAACTACATCCACTCCTCCAACAACAAATACATAAATACACTCCTTCGGACAAATTACAACATGCTCTAATCAGATAATGAAATAACAAAAAATAATTCATTGGGTTTGAATTACAGTACCAAAAGAAATAAGTTATGAAAAACCAAAGCAAGATCTGAAACATAAAGATAAAAACATAACGTCACTCACTTGGGTTTTTCAGAGTTGGTGAAGACTGGTTTTGGTCGTCACCAAAGTTGGCAACACCATCTTCGCATTTGAGGAGTGTTCCAATTTGGGAGAAGCGGCTGCTGTTGATGTCGCGGGTGAGTGTGTACAGATGAGCCCCTTGTTTCGCCTTAGTCGGCAATCGATCTAACAACTTCAGTTTCGAGGAAAGATGATTCGGAAAGGACTATTCGGCAAGGAAAATCTCAATAAATTTAAGGCGGGAGGAAATCTCAGTGGTGTGTGGAATGGTGTGTTAAATCCCTTTCACTTTTTCTACTTTTGCAATGCCCAAACACCAATGTCACGCCAATTCAATTTAGGCCAATTTTAAATTCCCGTAGATGTTCTGTGAGCCAGCTTCTGTACAACCCGTCCATTCCCAAATGAGTAGGGATTCTGATCTTCGTACAACCTCCCTCTAACCCTTCCATTTCTCGCTGTGCTACAACTTGATCCCTAAAAGAAAAGTAAATGTTTATAAAACACAAATGATATCAAACAAGTGCTTATGAAGTAATACTAACTCAACATTATTATTAACAAATTATGGCGCTCGATAAGGAGCACACTTTGATTTCGTATGGTGTTTGAATGCCAATGATCATATTTAGCCTCTGTTTGGTCCTAATTACTTGAAATTTTAATGATTGAAATGATATTTCTTTTTAAAAATGTGAGGTTAAAAAAAGTTTTAAAATTACGTTTAATATTATTTTATTTAAAAATGTATGTTTCATAAAAAGAGAAAATAATGAATTATAATTTTAACGAGATCAAACAGGAGTTTGATCATGCCTTTTAAAACATGCTGATAGTCTCCCAACCTAGTCCTTCTTGGTCTATCAAAATATGCAAATTTTGTGGGACCTCTTGTGGTCTTTATGCCTAGTTTATGAATATTGCAAAATATTAGACTATATCAAACTTTTGTGGGGGCTTTTGATAATTATCCAAAAGTTTTGATGACTACGCCCCTCAGATTTTTTTGGTTCAACACACAATACCCGATTCCGCATCTACAATCGCATCAAAGTAGTTCATCAACACTTTCCAATTAACAGACTCCAAGTATTCCACATCTACCAATCCTAGAAAAGCGTGTAGTGCACTATAAATAATAGCGCGTAGTAAATAATCATATTATTTTTATTTATTTATTACGTCATATTCCGGTCAGTTTTCAAAATAATCGAACCCTCCATTTCTCTCCCTACTCTGTTCCATTCTCTCTCTAAAATCAATCCCAAAAATATACACGAAAATCGATATTTGTATTTGTGTATCTCTCTCTCTCCATCATTTCTCTGTCGGAAACAGGAACTAGACCGAGAAATGTAAACCCTAATTTTGTTTCTTTTTCTGATCCAGGTGGAAGCGGAATTTCGAGGCGAGGAGTTGTTTTAGATTAGAGTGGTATTATAGATGAATTTGGAGTTTGATTAATCTGGCTTAGGGCAAAAAAAAGGAATTAAATTCCGTGCAAGAAACGGATTTTGTTGAATTAGGATATTATTGTAAGTGAGCTGGATGCATTGTCTAGGCGTTTTCTGGATCAATTAGCATTGACTTGAATATGAATTTATTGAATCGGATGAAATATTTTGGAGTTTGACAAATGATTAAGTAGCTGGGTTTAGAGGGTTTGTATTTGTATGGTTGGATCAGATTTGATGAATTGGTGTCATTCGTGACTGAGACTGCATTTTTTAGCTTGTTGAGAGGTTATTTTATTCGGAATAGCAGATGAGCTTCAAAAATGAAGATCAGAAGTCTCCTTACGAGGCGTCTGAAACGATTCATGAAGTTGAAAAGTAATTTGCTTTGCTTTTGTTCCAATGAGTTTGTTTATCTTCAATTTTGATTATCTCAGTTTGGGTGAAAATGACAAAGTTGTTTTCATCGTTTAGGAAGCTGAAAATTTCATACACAAGAGAGTTCCTCTTGTCCTTGAGTAATTTGGATATTTGCAAGAAGTTACCAAGTGGGTTTGGTGAATCACTGCTGAGGTAAAGTTCATCCCTTTACTCCCCGAGAATTATGAATGCTAGTTACCGGGTTGTTATTGTCTTCAATTTCTGGCAGTTTGTTGTGTTGCTTGTTTGGCATTTTTTTACGTACTTGAAAACTTAGTGGCGTGTTTTAAATATATATTTTTTGTTGAAATTGAGGCAGTGAATTTGAGGATGGCTTGCAAAGCATACAAGATCGACCAAGAATGCCTGGGAGCTTGTCATCACAGGGTTTCAGACGCAATGAGTATGGCTCATCTCAGAATACTCGAGCAGACTCTGATAATTACTCTCTAGGCATTTACGGAAGACGGGGAAGCCAATTTTCTGGGCAGGGTGATCAAGATATCGACTCAAAATCCAACAGGGATTCAGGTTGCTTTTAAGATTCCTCTGTATGCTCAGTTATACCTACTGTTGTTGTGTGTTGATTATGTTGGTTCTGTAATAGTGATTAAAATAAAGGAAATCAGCAAGTATAACAGTGGAGCATGCTGCATGCTTGATATGTGTAGACAGTAGTTGAAGGGGAGAGGTAGAATCACATAATACTGTGGCCACACTTCTACGAAGAACGGGTACTCGTACGAGGGTGACGTGTACATGTCCGACACTGTCCTGTCGTGTCAGAAACTGACACTCATTGGACACTACTATATTATTTTCTTCCTTTGGCAGTTTGCAATATTTGATTTATTTCAATATTATTTTAATATAACAACTGGCTACTTCTCTGATTTAGAAGAATTTCACTTAAAACTAAAAAGCTATTGATTTTACTAAAATAAAAAGTATAAAAATAAGTATATACTGCATAAAATGTACAACTTCACAAAATTTAAATCATTGTCTCCGCCAGCATGCTACGTTTCGAAAAATCACGCGTCGGCTTGTCGGTGTCATGTTGTACCCCAAGTCGCAAATCCGCGCCCTTGTCCATGCTTCTTAGATGCACTGAGAACTTTTTGGTGTCTGTGAGAAGGAAGCTTGGTTGCAAGGCATATTTGAAATGCTTGAATTGGTATGTTTGTGATCACATTCCTCTTTCACAGTTCTCTGAGGAAAAGGAAGGTACTAGATATAACTTTAATTCGGCTTCTCTAGTCATGCGAAAACCACATCTTTGATTTTATAGAATGTGGTTTGCCATTTGTCAACATATTATGACTACACAAATTTCCATTTTGAATGTTAAGAATCTTGAGATTGTCCCATTGACATAAAATGTAAAAAATTTAAATTACATTTAAATGAGTAGATTTGAAATATTAGATTATGTACTTATAAATGCTTTAGTTAGAATATTTTGTAGAACAAATTATAGGGCAAGACCTTTTTATAATGTTATATTCTCATTCTCTTCTGTTTGTCAGCTGCCGAATTTCAGCTTATTATTTAAACAAAATGTGTTTGTATTTATGGTGATTTCTTGCCCCTATTCCTTTTCTGTCTTCCCTCGTAAATTTTCTTAGGAGATCGAAACTTTGATTCTGATAAGGGGAACCAACTCTTACAAATCTTGCACTTGTCCTTTATTTTGTACTTAACTATACACCTGCACACTTACCCGCAGCCTCTTTTTCTTGGTCTAGCACTTACCTACTTAAAAAGCTAAAGCACACAAAGTTTGATATTCTAATGTAAATAAGACTTTTGTGTTCCAGTGCTCTGACGTCTGTGCACTATGAGCACTCCTACCTTGCTTCTTTTATCTACTGCTACCATTGTCATCATGAAACATGATATGTTGTCTTCAGATCTGATGACTCAAATCCCTTTCCATTATAGATTCAGGAAGGCATTATGGCCATCAGTCAAGGAGGCCTTGGCAGACTCCTGAGCATGACGGACTTCTAGGGAGTGGTTCATTTCCAAAAACATCTGGATTTACTGCTGGGATCTCCAGCTCAAAGGCACAAGGAAATGACCGCTATCAACTTAAGAAGAGCAATGAACCATATCAACCTCCACGACCTTATAAGGTTAAGTCATCCTTTCTAAATTCTATTTAAAATACTTGCACCTCAGTTCCATTAGTTTCGCTTAGCGAGCTATTCTGTTTCTTCATCTATTATTTTTTTCTTTATTTTCTCTGTCTATGTACCTCTGGATAACTTTGTGAATCCATGTTGCAAAGAAATGAAACTTACAAGCACTGCTCTAAACATTATCTCGTGCAATTCATAATAATTTCAGGCAGTGCCTTATCCACGGAGAGACACCGACTCTTTCAATGATGAAACATTTGGTTCAACGGAGTCGACTAGTGAGGATAGAGCAGAGGAGGAAAGGAGGAGAAGAGGTATCAATCCTTTCTGCTCACAATTGTGTAGTTGGTATCTCTAATAATTTATTGGTTTTGCTAGTTTATATTTCATTATTTTGGGTTATGTTCCCAGTTATAATAAATGCCCTTTTCAGCCTCTTTTGAGTTGATGAGGAAGGAACAACAAAAGGCTCTTCAAGATAAGCAAAAATTAAACCTGGAGAAGCATAAAGCTGATGGTGTCTCAGACCTTGGTGAATTATTGGAGGATAGCAGAGAGAAACCGAGAGTTTTGAACAGGAACAATGAATTGGACTCTTCCTCCGCAGCTCCTGTCTTAAATGATTCTGAAAAATCTTCTTTTGATTCACACTCTCCTGCGCCTAGGCCACTTGTTCCGCCAGGTTTTACAAACAATATTCTGGATAAGAGCGTCGGCGTAAAATCTTCGATTCATCCTCTGTCAGTGGTATGATGTTTTCCTCTTGACTTTTATTTTGTATAATTTCCTTGGCTGGAGATTCAAATATGCTTTATGTATCTGTTAATCAAAGGCATTAATAACAGGCACATAATATGCAATCATTAACCTCTAGCATCTTTTTAATATTTTGAGTTTTACTTCTTTACAAGTCCTTTTTCCTTCTCATGAATGACTTGCTAGTGTTTGTTGGATAAACATTGTGATTTTGCCTGTTTTAATTAGTTTTTGCTAAGCTGTGCTTATTAGCAACACGATTATGGCTGACAGAGGCATGGCCATTAGTGGCCAACCATCTTGTCTGAACTGATTTCATAAAATAGACTAATTTATGCCCGGGCCTGTCATAAACATTCTCTTTGGAAGCACCTTTCTCTTGTTGACACACCATAATGTGTATGTTTATATGTTTTGAGAGTGCATTTTTGCCTAGTTGACTAGCGGGTGACTTGGGTAATCCTCTTTTATATCTAATGAATGTTTCCCCAGTTCTGGGACAGGACTGAATTGACAAGGTGTAAGCGATATTCTGTTTAGTTAGTCTTATCACTTTTATGTGGTTCATTTTTTCTACGCGATTTCCATTATTGTGCATCATGTTTAAATTGCTACCCAATTTTAAACACTGTGCCGTATTGATTTCTTCATAAGTATCCCTTTTTTGAAGGCATCACTAATCATTTTAATCTTCATTCATAATGCGCTGATAAGACCTTTTACTTGTACAGGTTGAAAAACCTATAACAGGGGAAATCCTCTTTCGTGCTGGAGCCAACCCCATCCAAAATGGTACTTGCAATAGTTTAGAGAGGCAGTTATCACAAGAAAGTAGTTTAGTTAATGGACAGCCTGAAGATAAGACTAAGCATGCACTGCATTTGAACAAGGGGGAAAACATAAATTTTCACTCAACTTCAAATTCGGCAAGCAATAAACTTGGAATGGAAAATCAGTTACACCAGAATTCTAAACATTTAGATGCTCATCAAAACTTGGATGACCCTGAAATCTTTGAACTTGATTCCAAGATATTGGGAGACAAAATTGTAGGCGAGTCCAGGGTAAGTTATCCAATGCTGGATTTGGAAAAAAAATTTAGCAGCACATTATCAATGAATGGAGGCGGATCCGATACAGCCGAGGTAATTACTGCTCTAAATATGCTTCTAAATGTTCCTTGTCCTGGTCCTGCGACAAATTGAGATGTAAGAGTGATGGGAATGAGCAGGGTAATCATGTCGTAGATTGTCAGGGATGTTTTTCTGTTCTCAAATTGAGCAATTAGAACGTTCATAAGTTAAAATACAATCTTAATTATAATGCTGGGGCTTTATTGCTTTCATTTTCCCGGTCCTTGACCAGTTACAGAGATATGGACGCCTTATATAAATCTATAACAAAACGATATGGATACATTTTAAATCTTCCCTGAAAATCTACAAAGCTTGATTGGATGCCATGGATGATAATGTTTCTTGTGTGGACTCTATTATATGATTGTTAGTTAGGCTACTTGTGCTAGGCATGTTCTTGTTTGCATCTATAACTTGAGTAATATTATTTCACTATGCGGCACTTTTCCCATTCTTTTTGATGATTTGTTTGTTTGAGATACCCTATGGTAGATTTAGTTTGTTAAATTGTGGGGTGATGGATGATTTCTGGTCTGAAAAGAAGGTTCTTCCCTTATATCGTGTCCAATCTATCAAGCTTTTCCATGTCACTTATTCTTCCCTTAATATGCACTGAATGGGTCTCTAATTACTAATACTTCCTTATTTGTTGCAACTTTTCTAGTGTCATGATAGTAAACTCGATAAGTGGAACTCTGTCCAGTCATCAAAGTTTTCCCAATGGTTATTTGAGGAAGGTACAGTGCTAAAATATTTTGAATCATATGTTGTAAGAAATTCTAAGATTTTTTCTCTATATGTTTTTAATTATTTTTCCTTTTATTGCACTGCAGATGCTAAGCCAACGGATGATATCACATCTGGAAGTCCCAATGATTTGCTATCATTAATCGTCAGTGGCGACAAGGGCAGATATCAAGTTTCTGGCTTGAAAACAGATGACAACCTTCCACGTGATTTTTCCTACAAGAGCTCTGAGCATAGTAATAAGTTAAGATTTGGCATGTCATCTGCAGCTAATGGGGTCTCTGAGCGGGTGTGCATTAGTAACAAAAAAGAGATTGTTCCTGCTGTCCTTACCTGTGAAGACCTTGAACAATCGATTTTGTCGGAATACAGTGCAAAGACATCAAATTTGCAGCCAATGTTACAAGGCTGGAATACTACTGGTGCGAACACTGAGCGGCCAAGTGAGCATGTTGATGATCATGCAGCTGGACACCTGCTTTCATTATTGCAGAAAGGAATAGACGCGAGTAATTCGACCCCGGACTCTAGTACGGATCTGGGCTTTGCAGGCAAACTACTAGTCTCTAAAGAACATGATAAGGGCAATGCTGTAAATGAACCTAAAGGCGAAGTGGGCACCGAGAATATTGATAATTTGGGGAAGTCTCTTACGATGGAATCTCTCTTTGGTTCTGCTTTCATGAAGGAGCTGCAATCAGTTGATGCACCTGTTTCCATCCAAAGGGAACCAGTTGAGTATACACGAATTGATGTTCCGGAGCCTCATGGAATATCCTTTCCAATAGTGGATAAATACATTTTTTCCTTGGGAGTTGATCAAGCCGGATTTGGAAGGACAAATCATGATAATAGTAATTTGACTTCAAACCAGCGAAAGCAAACCAAAACAGGCGAGGGTGAGAACTGGCTGGGAAATGACTCCTCCCAAATTGATTCAAATCATCATACTGAAGCAGTCTCTAAACATGGTGGCTTTGATGGGGCAGTTGAATTTCAGCTGCCTGAAGAGGAGAGCTTAATTTCTGTAGGCGATCAGAATCATCGGATTTCGACATTTATTCCAACTGGTAATTCAAAGGCACCTCTTGACATACCGGAAAAACTGGCAGCTACCAATGCCATCATCAAAGACAAACAAATTATGCTTGCTTCAGGAAGTCTGCCCTTTATACATGGACCACGTGAACAAATGGATTCCAATATTCCCTATAGTTATCTTATGACCCAGCAATCATCTTCCCAATTTCAGCCTCAACAAATGACTCCTGGGAGGCTATTTTTTCATCCCATGGATTCTCATCGTGCTCACTCAACTTCCCAGTTGAAGTTCATGGATCCAGGCATCGTACTTAATCAGGAATCTCCCGCCGATCACCAATTTCTTGGAAATATGATCCAACCGCCTTTTAATCACTCTAGTGCAGGGGTTGCTGGGTTTGACGTCCATGCTAACAACCCTTCAAGGCTACATCAAATGCAGATGTCAGGGAATCCTCACCTATTACCGGAGTTCACCAGGGGCAGTCCAGTGTCTCGTCCTGGCAATCAACCAACTGGGTTTATTCAGGAAATGAATCCAGTTCTAGGTTTTCCTTTTGGACCCGACCAACCCAACATTGGCAGTCTTGGGATGCCAATTCCATGTAAGAAGTTTCGATTTTGCACTCTGTCCCATTATGTTGCTGAGAGCTGCATATTTATCTTGCTTATTTTTGAACTGAATAGTTGAATAATGAGCAAAAATATGCACATTTTCTTACATTCATAGAACACGCATGGGGGTAATTATAAATTATGGGTCCTATGAAATGTGTGGTAATAAGTGGGTAGTATTGGGTCGTACAAAATTTATTTTGATAAAATGCATATTTGACATTTAAGCTTTTACCAAATATGCACTAAAACTCGTGCAAAATTTGCTTATTTTCTCAGTAACTTGCAGTCGACAAGCATATTCATCTTGGCATGCCTTGCAATGTCTAGAATAAGAATATATAAAACACATAATCTAACATTTCATTTGTCTTGTATCAGCTCCTGATATCAATTCCAGAGGCAACCCCGAGTCATTTCAAAGGCTAATTCAAATGGAAATTCAGGCAAGTTCAAAGCAGATCCACCCTCTCGCTACTGGTCGTAACCAAGGAATTCATCATCATGAGTTAGACATGGGTTTCCGACATAGATAGTCGAGTGTGATAAGAGTTAGAACATGGCTGTAAGGTTTATCTGTCGTTAATTGTCAAGCATGCTAACCCCAGAAACAATCCTCACGGGTTTTCTGTATGTGTATATGTGAATGACAGTGGTTTAGTGCACTGATATTTGCAAACCTAATGAAAATGGGGGAATGAAAGACTTTCTAAACAGGCTGTTGTTTGTGCATAATTATGACGAATTACGACACTTTTGTTCTTCGTTTATATTTTCAATTCAAATGCTTTGTTATGGAGATTCTGCCACATGGAATGCTATTAGTACAGGTTAGTTCTGGTGCATCATAAAAGTATCACCCAAGTTTCCATGTTGGCATCTGATCTCTGCTTCTTAAGGAGTTGATTAGGTATATTTCATCTGCAGTCACTGTAATTTGAACTCGGTCACTCAAAAACTTTATTTTGTCTCAACTGAGTTGGGGAACTTTAATTTAGTTTTCGTTGGGTCGTTGAACTTCAATTTTAGTTTTGAATTTCATCTTGTAATGCTTTCCATTTTTCAAATTGATAAAAATTGCTAAGGGCGTGTTCAGTCGTATTTAAAATCCAATTAAAATTAAAAATATAGTCGTTATTAGATCTCACTCGTCTAATAAAAGTCAACAATAACGGCTAATTTTTCAATTTTAATTCGATTTTAATCTATACCGAAAATCTATGGGCCATGCCGATATGATTTGTATTCTATTCTGACGAAAAAGTGTACTCGACCATCGAGCTCAGCATTTACGCATTTACATTGAAAGAAAATAAATTCTAGACAATTCAATTGCCTAAAATTTAATGGTATGAAAGTTATTGATTAAATGATTTTGATTTAATTTTCAACCTAAAAATATTATATTTGTCCATTTTTTATTGATGAGTAAATTGGAGAGGGGATAGATGAGAGAGAGAGAGTGAATTACATAAAAAATAAAAATCACCTCCCTAAAGGAATTTTTTTTTTTTTTAAAAAAAAAAAATATAAAAAAAATTTAAAAAAAAAATTTTATAAAAAAATTTTAAAAAAAAACAAAAAAAAAAAATTTTTTTTTTTTTAAGGAAAATATGATCAAAAGTTAAAAAAAAAAATTTATGAAAAAATTTGTCAATCAAACACTCAAAATGTAAGAATTTCAATGGAAAAACGACATTTTCAGTGAAAAATAAAGCTAATCAAACAAACTCTAAATGAGAAACAAATCGAGACAGCCTAGACAAACATAGACGAGCATTATACATGCACAAAGTTCCTCGTTAAAATCCCATGTAGGTTGTAGTGGCCGGACGATAATCCTGCAAATTAACAACGTAAGCGATTGTGTAACAAACCAACCTCGTATAAAGCATCTCAACATATAACTCTTAAATGCACGGTTACAAAACTGTCAAAAGCCAGTCAATCCCCACAAGTTCAACAAAACCTCTCAAAAAATAAAAAAAAAACACCCTTGTACATCTACACACTACCTATTAGTGAGCAAACTTCGAACAAGAAGATTTCACAACATATACACTCAAGATCGAAAATGCCTAGATATTCTATACATACTAGTTTTTATAAATTTGTCTCAGGAGGCCTACGAGAACAGACCATTCCTTTTCACTGTTTCTACATGTATGTACAAAAACGACATGGTTCTGTAAGACAGGTTCAATAGGACACACAGCAGCAGAACTGTGGATATACATGACAGGTACATAGCAATAGGAGCCTGGACCTTCACTTTCCATATTCTTCAGCAGACCTGAAATAAGCAGTGGAAAATGGGAACTTCATGAAACTGCAAATGAACGTACACCTCCCTTTCTATGCGGTTGGAATTGCATTCCCGACTTTGTCAACTTGAAGATTTTTCAAAGGGCTATCAAACCTTTCTTTCTCAATGCCAGCGCTGTATGATGAAAACATGCTCCTCTGTATCAACAATCAAAAATAAACAAGATTGAGGCGAGTGATAAGATAAAATGGTTTTTGTAGGCAAGCAGTCGTACATCAACCAAATGAAGTGCATAACTAGGCTTCACCAAGGACCTTAAGTTGAAAGTTTTCTATTCTGATATTCGTCTGTTACACGAACAGCTTATATGCAAAATAGAGATTTTACTACTATGAAGAGAGACAACAACTAAAATTATATGTGAATACATCATATCAGGATGATCAAGAATAAAGTCTCCTAAACTTCAATTAAATTGTCCAATGTCTACAAGTTTGTCTAAGCTTAAAAGATGCTTAGCCAATCATGCAAACTAAAGCTAATAGGCAAGGCATAGTAAAAAGAATCTAAAATGAAGCGCGCACGCACACTATCAGCAGCCTAAAAAATATTCTTCATAATCGAGGCCGAAAATTTCAAGACAAGTCAAAAGTACACCTTTGTTTGGGAAACATTTTTAGTAAATTGAAAGTTACTTCTACTACCCCGTCAAAGACAAACTTTAATTTCAACCTCACTTTCAACTACCAACTAATTATTTACACATTTCGTAGTTCCCCACCACTATTCCTCCTAAAAAATTCCAAAAATATTACTAATAATCTTTCCCAAACATATGCTTATTTGAAGAAACCACCAGTGATATCCCTGTATTCATTCATATTCAAACCCCAAAGGGTTCAAAAAATGACCTCAAAGCTGAATATAGTGTTGGGCTTCTTGGCCTTAATAACTATAGAAAAGCCCTTAGGCAGCAGGCAGCAGAAAAATGAGACAAGATCCTATAACTGTGGGGGTACAAAATTAAAGATCAAAGATAATTACAATAGTCACTAACACATGGTTGAGAATTGAACAATGCAGCCACATCATATAAAATGTATGAAGGTGAAAAGTAAATTATAGTCAGAATTAATGCATCCAATAATTTAGAAGTTCAATGTTCAGGGATCGTCAGATTCATTAATGTTACATGGTCAAGAAATTGACGATTCATGTCACTTTCCATAGCTCCTCTGCTTAACATTTGTAATTTAAGATCGGATCTTTGCATTGGTAGAAATGAATTGCAAATTGGCTTCAATCATGGACAGGTCAATGATATCTTAAAGCATCTAACAGCTCAAAGTCAAACACCGAGTACCAAATCATTAAATTTTAGTATAACCTTAGCATGCTGTGAGCAACAGGTGGCAAGGGCAATGGAAATGGAAACTGGGATAATGAAAGCTTACATGATCCTCAAATTCAGGGCTCATCAAATTGGCAGATAGATTCTTCATCAACATCACCGCCTGGAGAAGAAATACCAATAAGAATGTTCAAAATCAAATGCTTGACAGAGAACTCCAAGAAACATAACTGATGAATCCAATTGATTAAGAGGAGCGACCAATACACAGGCAAAAACAGTGTAAGCATGTTAGTAAATTATCAATATTCAGCATGCTTCAGAGGAGCATTTTATTTCTTATTAAGTTTGGACTTCCCTGTATAATGACTTAATGAGGAATTTCTTAATGCCGAGGGATCAATTTTGCCTTTTGAAGGGAGCTGGTCCCAAGCTTGTTTCAGAAAACACAAAAAACTAAATGAATTCTGCCGCCGATCATGTTTGACAGACTGATCTAAATGGCCCACAAAGTCATAATATAATGGGACACTGTACCTCTACTTACTATGCAAGAAGGGCTTCCCACACTTCCTAGACTTAACAAATTTTTATTGGGAGGTCATATATTTTATTCTCATCTGAGTCTTCTTCCCAGATGTGAGAGATCATGAATGGATGACTTCATGATAACTAGCTTCTGCCAGGCCGATTAGAAGAGCAGAAAAAATTAAAGAAATTTACAATCTCTATGTGAGGTTGGAAAGAGAAAAATTCAATTGTGGGAGAAGTCAAAGGCACTGTTTGGCAGACATAAACTCAGCAATAATAGAGCGTCTCCACAAATCCTATATATCCAGTTACAGGAGAAAGATGTTCCATGGATAGAAAATTTAGCAATAGTTGATAGTCTTCACAAGAAAACTAACATCATCTTGAATTATTCACACCCAATCCCAGTACAATTGAGCAGCCCTAGCACTATTGCAAAATAAACTTAATGATGCCTTAAAATATGACTTTACCGTTTCAACATTTATGCGGTCCATCTTCTTTAGTCTTTCCATATGATCACTTGCATTAGGGTCAAATACACTACCAATAAAGCGGTAGACTTCAGCAAAATCAGGCATAACTGCATCAACGAAAAGTTGCATAAATACGTCACTTGTTAATCTAATATGTGCATAAATAGGAAATACATCATTAGTTAATCCCAAACAAACTCTTCAAATGTAGAATGAGATGCCCTCCCCAAAGATATATAGTTGTATATCATATACGGACCAAATAGCTTTAGTAAAACAATTACATATTTATTGACCTTCAGAGTCACAATTCTGCTCAATCAACAAATCTAACAAATGAAGTCATTAAACAAACAATCAACCTGAGATAACCCAAACCGTTAATTATATTCTAATTTAACATATGCATGCATAAATAAATGAAAGCTTTTGTATGAAAATAATGCCTTGTAGTCATAATTAAACTGAAGATTCTCAGTATGGCTTTGGCTGCTGCTTGAAGTACAACTATATATGAACATAACCACTCATGAACACAACTAATTAGATATATAACAGTAATTACATATTATCGATACACTTATTTACTCGCCCATATTATAAGACACAACCTGATTGTATCACCAACAGCTTTCCAGTATACAAGGGCAAGTGGACGAACAGTTTATTCTGACCTATTTCCCCACCACTTGAAAGGGTCATCCGCTTATCTATGTCTCATCCTTAAACATTACTAGATGTAGCGATAGCAGCAGTAACAATTTCCTACACTTGTATAATCATCTACGTATATTGAAAATTGATGGTTCTTGATTTAGAACTCTCTGGAGTTAGATGCTCTAGCTAATTAAGGGCCTAATTTCAATATTTATTTTTCTATCTAAAGAAAGTCCAAAGGCAGACTCCACATCTAGGTCCCACCACAAATCCTATGAAATAACATGTCTTTCAGTTGTCTAAATCTAACTTGCTGACTCCCACACCTTGGTCCCACCACAAATCCTATGAAATAACATGTCTTTCAGTTGTAGAATCTAATGTGCTCATCATGCCTCGAAGAGACATCTTTCAGCTCATTTAGAAGTCTGCAAGCAAGAAATGGGAGCATGGGACATTATCCAAAGGTTTTCACAAATTCACCTGTAGATTTTAGCTCTGATATATTTAGGCCTAACATATAACGAGTATAATGAGGTTACAGAGTCTCTAATTACTCTGGCTTCAATAAATCCAAAGATCATAAACAGAGAATTAAAGAAAATTACCTTTTGTTGGCGGGTCTTGTTTCTCCTTTACTTGGGGATTTGATTCATTATTTGGCCACAGCCGAGTAGTGCTTTCATTACTGCTACTGCTATAATTATGTGTCACGGTAAAACTGGCTATTCTCATATCATCTGACACACCAGTATAAGACATTGTTAAAGCAGGATGACAAAATTGATTTCTCTAAACAAGGTTAAATAAAAGCATGTTAAATACTAGAAACATACCTCTTGACATGTGTGACACATTGCCTGCTGGAAGAACATTGTAAGTCCAAGGAGATAAGGCCGCACTACTAAATGCATTTCCAGGCACTGACAATGAATCCGACCTCACAACATATCCGGGTTCTAGCATAGCAGCTGAAGACTGCAATGCTCCAGTGGCTTGAGACACAACTGCAACAGGTAGCTATCCAAGTTAAGTACGACTAATTTGAGAGATGGCAGGCAAAAATTAATGAAGGAAATACAGAAGAATAGCTACAGTTCTAACCTTTTTTGGGAGCCTTTTGTGGATAAGGATGGGCTGATTTTCTCTTTGGACGTGGCGGAGGTACACGTTCACTTGTTCCATTCTTCTGGACCTTCAGAAAATATTTCTGAGCATGGCTACGAATCTGCAAAGAAAATTCCTTAGAAACCGCTGAATCAATGAAACATGTGAGCATGTGCACTACCTATGACTCCTAGTGATCGACTTGCAGCAAATATTCTTTCATTTACATGAGTTAGCACTCGAAGTCGGTTTTCAGCAAAAGTACAAAAGTGTTAGCAGATATTGCTGCTGGTTTGCAAGAATATGGTTCTGTTTGATAAACTATAGAGTCCTATATATAAGCTATCACCCAACTATTTACCAAAACAAGATGATGAAGTAGGGAGAATTTGAAATAACTCTTTTTTGCAAGTTGATTACATTTTATTAAAACTTAATTTTGTATAGAAATGAATTTATTTTATATTTTGAGAGTAAGTTTTCTCAAAAAAAAAAAAAAAATTCTGTTACCTTCAACACTTTCACAATAAAACAGCTCAGTTAGATCACATTCTCTTCAGATTTTTTTTTTTTTTTGCCCTTTTTGTGGCAGTTTCAAATTTTGAAAGGAATTGTTTAGAAAACCCATTTTCACTACTTCAACACATACAACATTTCATTTTCCAGATTTTCGAAATAGATAAACTATTTGAATAATTGGAACAAAACACACTACATAGATAATGAAGTAAAAAATTTCCAGACAGTAAAAAGATCTACCAATGAGTGATTTAGCAACTCTCAAAATAGTACTTGAAAGTGACTATGACTCTTGACTGTGAAACTCCCAAAATGCTCAAAACGGGGACCAGATTGATTATCACATATAATTACCTCATGGCATAAAGCTCTAAAAGATGTCAATAATTTGCTACCTATTATACTCATTTAAAGAAAATAACTAAAATTATATCAAAATGTGAAACAACTTCATTACCTGGATAACTGTCTTTGACCCCACAAATGCTTCAATCTTTTTCCAGTCACGATCAAATCTGAAAGTCGACAAGTAAAAGGACGCTAAGTAAAATAAAAACAAGTCCAACGCTATAAAAAGAATCTGATATCAAATTTCAATTTCCATTCATAGTTTGAAATGTAAAAAGAAACATTCATTTCCTGAAAGTCATATTCAAGTAGGATTCGAGCAACCACTAAGTTAGCAACTCAGGGCTTCCTAGTAAGTCCAATAAATTATGGAACATACAAACTTCTACAAATCACCCAATGACTTAATATACAACATTAAACTACTGTAGTAAATAATATTTCTCTAATCGGATAGATTCCACATTCCAAGGCTTCAACAATGCGCGGTTGTAACCCAATTTGTTTATGTCACTAGAATTGCTCATTCTGCTGCTTTCTCACACTCACAACACGAGGGCTGAGTAAAGAATCTGAAAATTAATATTCCCAAAATTCAAACACATTGTTTTCCTTTTAAGGGAGGCAATACTATTATGCAAACTTCTCCTAATCATAAAATACCAAATCCTCGTGATTCTAACAAATAGAAATTACTCATATCCTTCAACTAAAATAAAGTGGACACACGATAACCAAAATAGAAAAACCTGAAATATTCCAAGTATCCAAAAATTCCCAAGCCTTTCTTGTCATAGAACTTGGAAGAGCCAGACCACAAAAGCTAAATAATGTGGTTGGAGAACCCAAGCCATATAAACCACACCAAGGAAGCCCATACTTCCGATGTGGGATTCGGATTATTCCCATAAATCATACTGGAAATCATGACAAAACACCGTGTTTTCGACTCAGCGTCCACGTCGAGCTGGTGCCTATACACCCTAAGTGGTAACCGAGACCAGAAGACATGATGTCTGCTCTGATACCATTGTCATAGTACTTGGAAGAGCCAGACCACAAAAGCCAGCCGACATGGTTGGAGAACCCAATCCTGTATAAACCACACAAAGGAAGCCCATACTTCCGTCGTGGGATTCAGATTCCCATAAATTCCAATGGAAATCATGACATTTCTACATAAATTTCATTAAGTTTTCTATCATTATTTAATTCCAAAATTAAGGAGCATAACAAACTCAAAAATCAACTAAAATTCAAGAAGCATATCAAATAGCTAAAATAATCTTAATTCCCTATTATATATATTTTTTTAAAAATCTTCACACATATACTTACAGTTGAAGGGCTTCGAGGAATTTGTCGTGTTCCTGTTCTGTCCAGCTCTCTCTAGACTTGGTTATAGTATACGGCTTCCGGACCTTCTTATTCGGGTCCTCCACACCCGGATCCGCATTCCCACTTGCCGCCGGTATCAATAAATTGTTATCAGCATTATTCATCGCCGTCAGACCCATCTTCATCGGATCCCCATCCATGTAATTGTAGGAATAAAAATCCTGACCCGGCACTGGATTCCGGCACACTGACACCATATATAACACCAAATTCAGCCTCAAATCCTCCAAAAATATGGGTTCTTCTCAAATTTTATATGTTAAATTTCGGGGGTTTTTGCTGTGAGGAAAGTGGGAGTGGAGCCGTGAAGGTTTAAAATGGGACGCAACTGTCCTTGTATGCAGTGGCAGGGTGAAATCTGGACCATACACGTGACGAGAGGTGGGATGGTTACCTCTAGAGCGTGTCGTCATTTGTTTGGAGGATATGCAAGGAAATAGTATTTTGCCAAGTTTTCACGTGGAGTCCCCAAACATTCACTCTAGTAGCACTTGAATCCCCATTCTCGATGTTTTGGTGATAACATCCCAAACTTACATAATGGGTTTAGTCCAAAAATTTGTTAAAAATCTTGTTCAAGGCACATGACCTATTTTCTTAAAACAATTAAATGAATGATAATTATATTGACACAATATTTCTTGTTTATTTCATCATATTGTAATAACATTTTCAACTTTTAATCATTGTCGTACTTATGTTTCAATTTTTTTTGTTACATTCTTATCCTCAAATTTTTATTAATCAGCAGACATTATCTTTCATGACGATATATATCCAAATATTTTGTCACACTTTATATTTAGTTTTTTATTTAGAAATACGATGGTCAAATGAATCTTTTTAAGCATTCATAATCAATTTTATCGTTGAAAACTATTATTTGAAACAAAATGTACTAATTAATGAAAAGTTGACGTAAAAGTGTCAAATGAGTCAAGTCGAATTGCTTGGCTCGCCTTTCCCTTGGTGGGAGTGGGAGCCGGCTTGCTGCCGCTCAGCTAACCATATTTATTCTTTTGCTTTTTACTAACTAAAATTGCAGGTTTCTATCAATTTAGTGATCCGATAATTTTGACACTTAAGAAAATTAAAAATATAAATATGATAATGAATAAAGATTGAAGACCGTTTATACAATTAAATATGGTGCAATAAATAAAATTATGGTGTCCATATAATTATCCTTAAATGAGAGAAAATAACAAAACGAATTGTCACTAGCAAAAATCCTCATCCCGAACAACTCAAAGTGAAACAAAATTTCTCCATTTAAAATTCCGGACGAAACCATTTAAATGGATCACATTGCATGTAAGTTTGGGGATGTGATTGTCAAAAATTAAGAATGGGAACTCAAGTAATAGTGGAGTTAATATTTGGGGACCTCATTTACCAATTTCCCTAATTTCTAAGAGGGACCCCTAATTTTTATATTATTACTTTCTTTTTAAAATTGGATCTTATCTTTAATTTTGGTAAGTGGGACCCCTAATTTTATATTATTAATTTCTTTTGCTAAATCATTTTCTATTATTACTTGCCTTTTACAATTGGATCTTATCTTTAATTTTGGTAACTCAGATAAGCGGGACCTCTAATTTTATATTATTAATTTCTTGCTAAAATTGGATCTTATATTTAATTTTGGT